CCTGGCTCTGCCCGCCGGCTCAAAGGCAGCTTCCCAGCCTTGTACCATTCTTCACTTTAACAACAAAGCTGCCCCTAGACTCAGTCTAGTTTCTCCATCATCCATTTGATCGAATCCTTTTAGCGGGTGACAAAACACTTTCTTGAGCTCTCTTTACAGGAAACCAATCTCTATTCTTTTTTCAAAACCCTCCTCATTTACAGGAGTCTAACAAATCCTGCGCCTTTTAAGTCCTATCCTGTTTGGGTTTTTTTCCCCCAAAACAGTGCCATGTTTGTAGATTTTTTTTTTTTTCCTTGGGAGGAGGGAATAAAATACACAATACAGAGAGGGCTAGGGTGTACACACTGACGCATGCCGTGCCGAGCATCCCTGTACAGACAAAAACCCCGTGCGCGCGTGCACATCGAGATGCAAATGATTTCCGTGAAGCTATCACTTGTAAAGCTTGACAGAAAATAATGAGAAACACTAAATCTTTTATAAGGTCAACACTCAAGCAGCTGTCAAACAAGAAAAGAATTTAGCGAAAGATCCGCAAAAAACTTCCATCGCCTCATTAAATCCAACAGGGCCGGGGCCCGGCGTGGTGAGGAGGCACCGGGGCTCCTCCGTTTTGTGTCAGTAATTTGCGGCGGAGGAAGAGGGAAGACGAAACAGCCAGCGCCGAAGGGGCCATGGGGGAGGCTGGGGAATCGTTAGTGCGCCAGGAGCGGCCTCGGCTCCTAATTGGAAGCATTGGGCATTATCAACGGAGGATTTGCCTCGGCTCCCTGACAGCTCTCTAGGCCTGGAATGATAGCCCACTTGTCAGTGTAAAAGACCATTAAAAACAAACCATTTTGATTTAATTGGAGGCGGTGTGCTGGGGGCCCAGGTGAGGCGCTTCATCAGCTGATGTTGGCTGCTGATGCCTTTTTCCCCCTGTATTGATGGCTTTTTTTTCTCCCCTCCCTTTCAAAAACTGTCTAGGAAAGAGAAAGAGGTGCTGAAAGATCCTTCACAGCTGCATCGAGAGCGGCTTTCAATAGGGTTGTCAACAAATGCCATGACAAGTTAGAGAGAGGCAGGTACTTTTAAAACAGACATTATTCTGTCCAAGATGAGCTGCGCTCGGAGGTGTGTGTTGGATTATTAGGGTTACAAATACTGTGGCTTTTCCTGGCAGTAGCGTGCTTAACTGGTTTAATGAATGGAGTTGATTTTTTTTTCTCCTCACCCTTCCAATTCTAAGAACACAGGGAAATGCAGGACAAGGGCGTCTGGGCTAAATGATCCTTATTTGCTTCAAACCCAGGAGGGTTTCTAAAAGTGCCCACCAATTTTTGGCTGCTGTATTTAGTGCCCCAGGGAGATCTGGGATTTTTTTTTTTGCTTCCTGAAAGTCAGGGCCACAGATGTTTGCTGGTCACTTGGTCTGGGCAATAGTATGAGTAAAGGAGAATTGACCCACCGGAGCTGTAACCTAGAATGAAACCCCTCGGCAGATGTCCTGGAATCAGACCAGAGCTGGCAGCTTTCACTCCAACCTCATGCGTTTCTGAGAGTTGAATCCTGACCCTTTCCCTGTCAGGCAAGAGTTTTACTTCAAACTAAGTTGTCTGTTGGTAAATAGCATCTCTGCAGAAGGCAGAATATGTCCGTAAATGAAACCCCATGTCCGTTTCAAAAGCGCTTGTGTGGCTTTGCGTATGAAACGGGAGATAGCACTGAAAGCAAGGGTAGGTGCTCACCGGTAACCCAACACAGTGTGTGTGGTTTTACTCTAGCGCAAGCTGTGAGGCTGTAAGTACCCCAAATCTGTTCCCTCATGGGAGAATATCTCCAGAACAGCAATGGGCATTGCTTGCCAACGGCTGCTTGTGCTGCCTTTGGACACCAGGGCTTGGATGTAGGTGGAACCTGCCCTGGAGATGGTCCAGGCTGTAAGGCTGCACGGGGAGGGGTGGTGTTTCCCTGCGTCAATCAGGAGATGCTGGAAAGCAATGAAAATGGCAGAGGAATGAGGAGTTACCGTGTCTGTGAGGGAGACATGGGGAAGGGCTGAGCATGGCAGAGGGCAGCATTAGGGTATGATGGAGAGGTTTGGTGTCCAGGGCATAGACAAAGGGGTACTGGGAAAGGCTGGACCATGGAAATACTTTGCTGTGATTTGAGCAATTGCATTGCTGGAATCTTCAGCAATTAGGCAAAACAAGAAAACCTCCAGAATCTGCAAGAAAATGTAGTGATGGTGACTGGGACCTGGAGCCTGCGTTTAGTCACAGAATGGCTATGGTGTGGGAGGTGACATCTCTGCTGTGGTCCCAGTGGAGATGTGCGGAGATCGTGTTCAGGGCAGCTGGGTCTCTGCTGCCCATTTGGAACCCTGCAGGGCGTTGTGTTTTCTTTTTGCATTGTGCCTGTTGTAGGCAGGTCATCACCGGAGGCCAGCGGCGCTGCTTTGGATTGTCACTGTGGGGCTGGGACCCACCAATTCATGTCACTTGGGCCATTGAACAGCCATCAGGTGACACTGACTTTTTTTTTTGTCAGCCAAAATCCCAGCTGAAGGGAGGTTTGATCTGGTACCATGGTGACAGAAAGCTCTTGAACTCATTGCTTTATTCTTTAAGCACTATTTAGGCCCCCGGAGATAAGATTTATAACACTCCAACTCCATGAAGTTTTGCTGCCCTCAAACCTGGAAGGATAAATGCCATATCTGAAAAGCCAGCCCACGGTGCGCTGTCTGTATCAAGCCTAGGTTATTTAAGCAGAGCCTATAGCTTTACTCACAAGACAACAGTTGCAAGATTACATGAGCTGTGCTTGTCAGTTCAGTTCTTTAGACAAAAGTAGAGGTAAGGCATTAAAAAAAAATGTGGAACATTTTTGTGTGTATATGTTAAATCTCAACTGTTAATTCTGATGAAGGATCAGGCTGTGAGCAGGTATCGGATCCCTGGTGAGAATCAAATTCTGGAGCCCAGAATTTTGCTGCAAAGTTTATACAGTGGGGATTCCTCTAATTACTTTCAGTGGAAATTTACCTGACAGAGCTTTCCCAGGTAACGCAAGGCATATGCGGGAGAGCCGCTCAGCCGTTGACAGAGCCTTTGATTTTGTGCCAGGTTGCAAATTAAGTCTTTTGCCAAGGTACCCGAACACTTGCTCGTCAATTGCTTATCGCTTATTCATATCGCGCATCGAATGCAGCTCGTTTCATCTGCTCGGGAAGGCAGCGCATGTTGACAAAAGTGTTGTCCAAAGTTGCTGCATTTTTCTTTCCTCTCCCTGTTTGGTCAAGTAAACAAGACTATTCTCCCTGGAAAGCCACCCTGAACGTCTGTGCAAGTTGGAATTCTCTAATGAGCAAAGGAAACACCCTGGTGTGTTGGTGACACACAGTGCACAGAGCTATTTTGACACGCGGGTGAAATCTGACCTACATCACTGCTGTGTGAGGTGTCGCTACCTGAATCCTTCTGGATTGACTCGATAGAGCCCTGGAAATCTATTGCGGAGTGGTCAGTGTTGACTTACTGGTTTGGCTTGTGACTATCAAATATTCAGATGGGCGTAGCTGGAGCCCCAGCCTGGGCTGGCACAGACAAGGCTGTAGGGATGCTGTATTTTGGCAGCAGCATCCTTTCCAGAGTTTGGTTGACACCAGGGAGGCCGCTCTGCCTGGGCCAGCATGATGCTAGTGATGAGGGACACAGGGACAGGACACATCCCATGAACATGGCGTGGCAGGAGTATTTATGTCCATGCTGGGTGCCTGAGGGATAGGCAAATAAATGAAGTCTTGGTGCACAGTCCCAGCTTTGTTGGCAAAACCTGAGCCCAAGAATCACGTCACTGCAGGCAGAGCAAGGCAGGGGCTGTTTGCCTTGGGGGGGGTGACTGAGGAAGAGGAGGGCAGCAGAAGCATCTCGCTGAGGTGAGTAAGGAGTTAACTTCTGCTTGGTTTTGTTTTTTAAAAAAAAATCAAAACCAAATAAAATACTCCAATTCAGCAACTTTCCCTAATGAACTGCCCGTCAGGACATGACTGGCTCCCTGCACCGGTTTGTCTCGGCGAGCTGGAGGGCCCAGGAGACCACATGCCAGGTCGGTCCTCCAGAGCGAGACGCCGAGCAGGAGCGATCGCCCGGTGTGGGAGAGCCTGTAAATCACCCGGTTAGCTTAATAGCGTGGGCCATTATTCTAAAGCAGTGGGGCTGAAACCTAAATCCAAATGAAAATATAGTCAATTTGTCTATACTTTACTGACTGAATGAGTATGTAATGTCATGCAGCCCTGGCATTGCAGGGAACAAGCAGAGGCAATTAGTGGGGAGGGCAAAGCTCCTTTGTTTTCTCCTCTTCCACCTCCTCTGCAAGCTCTAGCACGGTGCCAGGAGTTAGTCTTGCAGGGACTGAGGGTAAGTCCAGATTAAGAGCCAGCAGTGATAGCCACACTCAGTTTCTGCAGCTGTAAGGGGTCAGGATGGGAATAGAAAAACCTTCCTTGTTGATTTTTATGGGTCTAAAGGAACAAAATCTCATCTTCCTGCTGTGCCCTCCTTTGGGTTACAACTGTCTTGGTAGCTGGGTGTTCTGCATTGCTCCCAGAGCAGGCCAGACTGAACGGCACCATGCCAGATGACTGGGGGTGACTGTGTGACAAGAAGGATGAGTGGCTTGAGGACATGTCACACCCCTGCACCTTCCACCAGCTTCAGGTCACATGGAAAAACAGTCCCAAGTGGGGCTGTGGTCAGGGCAATGGAGTCTCTGAATATTCTTGCCCAGAGTTTGAAGTTGTTCCCAGGTCACGAGCATCTTCTGTAATGGCCACAGCAGGCTGGTAGGAAATAATATGCGGATGGGAGTCTGCTGACAAACTTCGTGAAGTGATATTTTTGTGGTTGCTTTTCATACTGCTTTTTGCGCAGCAGGATGAGGGCATTATATGGATTAAAGACAGTGTTTTGGTAAACTGCCTACAGCGATCAGTGCTAACTGAGTCTTAAAAAAGCCATAAAGTAGTTATCCACCACGACAGAAGAGCCTAAGAGAAGTTTCACGAAGACAGAAACAACGCAAGAAGCGGCTCCTCACATCTTTGGAGCACTGCTCTCTATCGTCACCCTTGTGAAGGAGGGATTGATAGTGACTCCCGGACTCCCTAGTTTGGCTGAAGGGTTAGACCAGTTTGTCTTTCAAGACCATTCCACCACCACCTATGTAGAACCCAACTTTACAGAGATGGTTAGAGCACAGTCTGGAAGCTACCAAGTGTCTTTGGGAACCATCAACTTTCTCTAGGTTGTTACTGCTTTTAACTGGGTAAACATTTATGGATGTTCAAGAGAACTTATTTTTCCATGGAGGAAACCATGCACTAAACCAACTGAGGAATGGATTTCTGGATCCAAGTTCTAACATGGTGTGTGCCTGTTAGATCTGCTGCTGGGGAAAGGCAAATCTTCCAGGTTAATGTCGTGAGAAAGGAGAACAGAAAATCTGGAGAGGCTGTGCGAAATGAGCTGTCCTTCCTCCCCTGGATGCTGCTCCTGGGAAGGAAGGGAAGAGGAGAGGAAGGAGAAAGGCAGAGAGGAGAAGAAAAGACTGAGAGGTTTGAGAGCTGTGGCTAGGGGAGGAACCCAATCACAGTCACCGATGAAACAAAAGGGAAAGCACGAAGAGAAACGCAGGTTGAAAAATGAATAGTGATGGAAAGGTCTGGGGTGAGAGGAGCTCTAAAGAGGAGGCTTGCCCCAGTATCTCGTGTGACTTACACAATCTGTTTAACAGCGATCGGTCATGTTCTTTCCCTGACACTCGCCGCAGCAGCAGCTCTGTGCTGACAGGCAGTGGGGATAAATGATTACTGACATATGCTAATCGGACAGTCTTAGACAGGACGTACGAGGAATACATCAAGGTGGTGCAAAACACATTTCTTGGTCGAAACTCTCCAACTTGTACAGGTAAATTAGCTTCAGGAAGTCACAAGGCTGCTTCGTTGTTTTAAACTGTGGTTAAAAATCAACAGCATGGCAAAAGAAATAACCCCATTGGAACAAGGGCCGGGGCGGAGGGCTGAGAGGCTCTTTGCAGTGGTATCTGCCAATGCCAGATATGATTTTGGCCACATAAACTCCCTGCAGGGTTTCAGTGCTTTCAGACTTTCTGGGGTCTCCTTTCTGTTCTGCTTGCCCAGCTCTCCTCCCTTCCTTCCTAAAATGCCCCCCAGCTCTTCACTTGAAGTTTCCCTGTAATTTACACCACAAACAAAGCTAATGGAATTCAAACAAGTACCCCAGAGCACAGCAGGATGCAGAGATGAATTCGGGGAGATGTTTAGATCCCATTCCTAGAACAAAAAAAATCTTCACCTTGGCTCTTATTTGGATCAATTAAAGGAAGTGTCATGCACATCTGTAACCTGGCTAGCCCCCTTCCTCAGTCTCAGGGTGAATATTGTCAATCAGGTAGTTTAGAGGGGTATCAAGAGTACAGGCTTTCTGGAAAGCTCTAATTCTTGGGGTGAAAATGCTGCTTGAAACATCTGGTGTGGTTTGAATTAGTTATGGTGAGAGCTGATAAAATGGCAGGGTACCAAATCATGGGTTTGACTGTCCTGCTTGTGTAGGGCAGTGGTGGGAATACCAGCGGAGAACAAAGCCCACCCCAGTACTAACAGTGAGATAGAAAAAGACGCTTCTCATCTTGTGAAGCTCATAAAAGTGCATGCAAGTTAGAAAATAAGTCATTAAGCTCTCATCTGGGCAACTGCTGCCTCTCTTCCAGGGCTTATGGCTGCAAAAAATATCCCACCCTGCAGTCCCAGAGGGGCTTATGTTTGAACACATCCAGCGTGGGACCATTTTAGGGTCTGGGTCTCAGGGGGCTCTGAGGCAAGAGCCTTGTGTCTACCTTCATTGTGTGCTAAGGGTGTTATCAGGGCATGTGGGCAAGGTTAGAAGGTGCTCTGAGTTCAATCAAGTGCTCCATACCTTCTCCAAGCGGGGCAGGTGCCAGAAGGACTCCTCCTTTGTAGGCGGTGGGTGTCTTCGCAGAAATGTGGTGCGAGTTTCACACGCTTTGTCTTTCTGTAACCAAAGGTAAACAAGAATGGGCAGAAACGGCTGCACGGCTACATACATCATGTTGGTGTCGTGCAAGTAATGACACGGGGATGAAGAAGACTAAAAGTTGCTTTCGACTGGCAATCACAAGTGCCTGATCTGGGTAGTTTTTCATGTCCGTGCAGCTAATACTGATATCTAAAATGTACTGATGAGAAACGTGAGCAGCTGCCACCTTGTAGAGTGTCTGCATTATGTGACATCCCAGCGAGATGACCGCTGCCTGCAGGAAGCCCTGTGCTCTGAGCGAGAGCAATGGCTCATCACTAGCTGGGAAAGTCACTGCCACCACCCCAGCATGGTGGGGACGGATGCCTGGTGTCTGGTGTGTGCTGCTTTCCTGATTAACTGCAGCTTGCAGTGCTTGATAGCCCCAGCACAACCCAGTGCTTTCACCTGGTGAATGTTATGTTTTGGCCATTGTTGTGTGAAACTGGGGAATCTGTGGTTCTAGGATGTAGGTTTGTGTTGCCTAAATCAGTAATTGGTGGCTGCAGGCTTTGGGAACTTAGTGATTAAAAACATCAGTCATTAATAGATAAGGTAGGGATGCACTTTCCAACATCCTAGGCTTGTGTATTCATAAAGTAGCTGCTAATTAAGAACACTCTATTCTTGCACTTCGACTATAAAGCATAGTTTGTGATGGCAGTAAGCCCATTGAAATTGGTCATTACCATATTAGCTCGACTTTTCTTTGAGCCATTAACTAATAAAACAGTCATTGGCTGCTTTTAAATGTTATTACAATACTGGTGTGTTTAACAGCACAGCGTCGCTCTCTAACAACTGCTGTGGGTGCTAGCATCAACCACACCGTGCCAGCATCACCACTGGTGCTGGTCCCTTGCGTGTTTGTTGGCTGTTCCATTGTTTTGTCCACTGTCACAGGTAACCTGAGCGGAGCTGATGCTGCCCAAAGGACAGTCTGCAGGGCTCCTGGCATGAGGATGACACAAATACCAAAGATAATTTGAAATTAAATTCTTTGTTACAGTAGGGTGTTTTACTATTGTGGTGACGCAAAAAGAACCAGAGCCTCCATTTCAATTGATATCAGGAATTTAGCTGGGCAACCTGAGACTGGAGCATTTTGATGCAGAGAGATGCTTAATGATAGCTAGAAAGGTCTCTCTGTGGGACAAGTGTCTAAGTCTTTGAAAGCCTTGGCCAAAGCACTGCTGACCTGGAGAGCTTGCTCAGATCCTGTGTATATCTTCAGATACAAAATACTTAAACAACAACAAAAAGACCCCAAACAGCACAAAACCCAAGCAAAAAAAACCCCAAAACCACCTTCCTTTTTCTCTCTAGAGCATTTTCATGGACGCACATTGTGATTCGCACGTCTGGTGCTCGCTCCCACAGCATCACCTCACAGGACATGCTCTGGCTGAAGCCAGGCCCATCTTGGCAGGGAAGCAGCTCATCTTTGTCAGGCTTCACCAGCTTTCTAGTAGTCGGGGAGGATGTTTTCCCAGCTGAGAGCCCTCCCCATGGCTGGGAGAAGCCCGTCCGTCACGGGGTAGGACAGTGGGGGGTTATGCTGGGTAGCGGTGCTGTGCACAGCAAGGGAAGGTATTGCTGGAGTACTATCACCTTTTTCTTCTCCGCTCGCTGGGTTGCTGTCCGGGCTCTCTGCTGCTCCATCCACAGCTCCTTGTATTTGTGTTGGAGGAGGTCAAAAAAGGGAGTGCAAGGCCTGCAAAACATTGAAAAGACAACAGTATAATCTCCAGGGTTAATACCTCTCTCTGTCTCTCCATGCTGATTTGTATCTCTGCTCCTGGAAAGCGTGACTGGTGAGAACATGAATAAACCCTCATGTTGTGAAAGTCTTTCTTTTTCTCAAGAAAGACTCGAACCCACATTCATTTGCAGTTAATACACCGCAGCCTGCACATGCTCATGACAACCTGTAGCACAGGACTCTGCTAGGGTATTTGCCAGAACGGGCACAATTTCTATCTTTGCACAACCTTTCATAGGACCCGTATATCTGTTCAAGCTGGAAGGACCACGGAGCATCACAGACTGCAACTCAACCCTGGGCCTTGCTATGGCTCCAGGACAGCATTTTCCAGCTGGTACCCGATGGTGGGTAACAAAAGCACTGAATGGGGCAATGTCCAGAAGCAGAGAGCTGGGCTTTTGCATTGCCACCCTGGAGCTCAGAGGAGCAGCTCTGGCTGGGTCCCCTCCAGACTGACACAGCTGTGGCAGCTGCCTGGGACGAACCACTGGGTGCAAAGCGTGTTTTGCTAAAATAAGACTGCTTTTGCTAATAAAATATCACTACTGTGGCACACCAAAAAGCTGCAAACAGATGCAGTGATAGACTGGGCAAGAGCAGTAAGTGCTGTCCTAAGCAATCTGAATAGGGATAAAAATGGACTCAACGGAGATGGTCAGGTGTCTGCAGCAGAAAGGGGAGCTGAAAAGCTGAGCCCTGGTCTAGTGCCTCAGCTGCACAGACCAGATGTGTTTGCCCCTTGAAACAGGGTACTAGGGAGCATCCTGGCCAGGAGGAGACAGCAGCAGAGAAGAGCTGCAGATGACCATGGTTCTAAACAAATGGTAAAAATAAAAGGCGGTTGCTTGTTGGCCAGTGTCCCGTTCAGCTGCTCTGAGCTGGCATTCACCTGACCAGCTTGTGGCAGAGCTGCAGCCTGAAATTGTTGAGCCTTGCTCCCTGCAAGTGAGGATACTTTAACTTCATCAGCCACCATGGGAGGCAGAACTGGCAGTGGCAGCAGTGGCGTTCTTGCCTTGAGGACAGCATATCTATTATTCCTGTGGTCCCGCTGCTGCTATTTTCCCCCAGAAGCAAATACTTGAAGGTGATGGAGGACCTCAACCTCAAGTTTTATTGGCCCTTGTCCTCGCACACCTTGCTGGGGAGGGACTTTTCCCATCTCAGCAGCAACCAACAACTGTGGAGGCATCACCCCCACCTGTAGCCCACGGTGCCTTCAGCTGCAGCTCCCATGACAGAAAGACGGTGCTTGCCCTGCCTGTCCAGACCAACTGCAAGACACTGGGGACTTGGGCTAACTGCTGGGCTGCTTCTGGGCCACCAGCCCCATCAGAAGGTCGTTTTCTGCAGAGAGAGCCCACGTGCCACAGAGTGAGTTGCTGCTTCGTGGCTTTTGGCAGGAGTGGGTCCAAAATCCATAGCAGCCAGCTTTTAGCAGTCTAGAGAATATTTGACGATCACGGAGGGTGCCAGCAGCGCGTATGCAAATGGTAACTCTTCTCTTTCTTGTTCCTTCACCCCTGTGGTGACTTTTATTACTTAATTATTGCACACCACATGCTTCAAAACAGCCTAATCTATGGTCGTGTTTTCTAATGATACTAGATGTGCAATCCAGCAATGTACATCCCAAGGGGGCATTCATACCAGAGGAGACATCCTTCTGCAGACCTCCTGTTTCATAGATCACACGCTGCAGGGCTTTTCAAGGCTTTGCTTACAGATCAGCTGTGCTGCTCCAGACCTTTATCTGGAGATAGCCGGTGCCAAAGGCAACACCGATATTTGCCCTTCCTTGTCCTCTCTTTTTCTCCCCTCCTTCCCTTCCAGTTTGGCATTTCATACTGATCGGAGCTGGGCAAAATATTTACAAAGGATAAAAGGTGTGGCAAACCTGTGGTCAAGCATCTCATTGTCCGGGTGGGTCTCCAGTCTCATTGTGTGGTCTAAATTTTGGTATTCCTGGCACAAGCACATGGTGAGCCTTGCACATGGGTTTGTTTCTTTGGTCTGTCCCTTTGCTCTCCAAGGCAGGAGCTTTCCTGGTGTGCAGGAATAGCAGAGAGGGATGCAGGAAAACATCGGGCCTTTGTGTGTAGTGTCTGATTATTGATTTTTGTGGTAGCTGAATGTGTTTTCACATCTCTATGGAGGTGACTTTTACCATCTCCAGTGGACCAGCCAGTTGGTGACTGATTAGTCCACAGCTGGCTTGTAAGTAAATGCTTGAAAGGACACATTTGGGTTGATGCTCTTCAGAGATCCTTCCCTGCCGTGTGATTAATCGCATTTAAGTCCTGATCCAGCAAAGTATAGAATCATGCCTGGAATGATACACACATGAACTGCCTCTTTGAAATCGGTGGGAATGACTCGTGTGCTCAGTTATACACGTCAGCTCTGGTGGGGCTGTAGGACGTGAAGCTTCGTCTGGCTTATTCCTGCCTCCTTTGAGAGGAATACTGAGAAAGTCGGGAAGAGCAAGGGATATCAGGTAACACACTTCTTTGACTAAGGTTACCAGAGAAACTTCAGATAGATGGCTTTTTCTTTGTAGGTCAAACGCCGGTCTCATCAGAACGGATGGGGAATTTTGGCCCCGATATCGGTGCCGCTTGGCAGCGTGACAGTATTTCCCATTTGCAGCTGGCCCTTGGGAAAACGTCCTCTCGCCTTAGGGTTACTTAAGGACAGGAATGAACAGTTTGGGTGTTCTGTTTCCTTTTGTCACCCTGCCCAGGTGTCACTCCTCCGAACTGGGAGGATTTTGCTGTTATCTGTGGATGTTGTGGGGAGAGCAGGGGAAACATCTGCTGAAAACACTTATTGAGGATTAAAATTCATCTTGTTCAGAGTAACTCAGATCTCCTTGTTTTGGCACAAGCACCCTGCCACAGAAAGGAAAGGGAAAGAAGTTCTGATAGGGTGTAACAAATTATTTATAATTGTGGAAAAAATAATCAGCTGCTTCCTTTTATAGTCAAATAGTTGGAGCCACTTCTAATGTTGACATTTCCTAAATATTTTAAAATTTATCTGTGCACATTTTCAAAACTATTATCCCTGAAACAATTCCTGTCTCTTTAATAGACTCTCTCTCTAATTTACTTTCAAGAGTCAGGGTACAGACCTATTTTCAACTGAAATGACAAGCGCCTGCTAACTCGGTTATACAACGTGGTATGTTAGCCTGCCAGAAACCTCCTGGAAAAGAAGCTGCAGCCTCCTAATAGGCTATTTTACTGTGAAAACAATGTTTAAAAGTATAATAAAGTATTAACAATATTAAAATAAAACAGTGTAGGCCTTAAATGAGCTACAAACTAGTTAAATCTATTCTATTCAATATGAGCCTTCAGTGCTTTGCAGCTGATACCTCAGAGCTGGGATTTATCTAAAATGAAGGCACCAGGGACATGCAAGAGAAATGGTAATTATAATTTGCAAACATTAGGCTGACACTTTTTTGTGTATGTGTGTATAAATTCTGACAGCTGTGATTTGTGCCATGCCAAATAGTGCTCCACTGAGCTGGGAAGGGCTCACTTTGTGGCAGGCCCTCCTCAGCGCAGACGCT